TTTATGAAACAGCTGTAAACCGTTTTTCAAAGAGTAACGTAACAAGAGAATTTTCTAACAAGGTAATATATTTTAACGCTTTTCTTTATAATAAAATTCTTTTATTTGATTGGCCGTTTGAATTGGCCAACCACATACTGTAACTTCAAGGTCGACTCATGTGCGATCTGGGTCTAATTACTAAGTGGATAAAGGTGTTTTTATCTTATAACTTCTAATTTTATTTTTGTAAAATGTAATTGAAGGTCTGGAGATTGAAATTGCACGAAAGATTATTTTTTATCTATCATGAAAAACGATAAAGAGAATAAAGTACCTTGAATTAACGAATTAGAAGTTTTTTAAAAAGTGAAAATATGAAAAACACAAAAGCTTAAAGCTTTAAAAGATAAAAAACTGTTAAAGCATAATAATGAATGTCGTTAAATTTTTATTTGTAATTTTACAAAATAAATTCGAAAAAAAAACTTATTTACATTTTGTTTTCTTTTTTCAAATCTTCTATTTCGCTAGTTAATCTCAATATACGTATTATAAATCTTGTCCCTGTTTAATCTGAAATTCTTGATTTTTTTTATTTCGATCACTTAAACCTTTAGTGATCACTTATGTTTATTAATTTTGCGATTTGGATTAGAGTTGGCTTCGAAACTCTTTGTGCCAAAATCCGAAAGTTTCGGGTTTCGGATTATAGCTTCCGAAACCTCATCCGAAACCCCGAAACTGCAGAACTTCGATTTTCATATAATAATAGTTTACAGCTGTTCTCATAAATTCTGGGACAACGATAAAAACTGCCCAATGATCATTCGGCCGAATTCGATAAGTTTTTGAATTCGGTGTTATCGACATTGCTGAAATGCCGAAATCCAATGCCGATAACACCAAATTAAAAAACTTATCGAATTCGGCCGAAACAATTTTTATCAGTTGTCCCAGAATTTATGAGAACAGCTATAATACTTACCCCTTGCATTTATCCGGATAATTTATCGGATAATCCGATCATCCATCCATTTATCCATTTATCCATTTGATATCCGGATATCCATGGATAAATGGATAAATGGATAATGGGTTGGAACTCTACGTACTTGTGTACGATCTCAATCATTAGCCAATCACATAGAGAGAGATGCTTGAGAGCACCCTTAATAAGTGAAAGCAAAAAATTAACATAGACAACGCAATATGTATAAAGCGACATCAAAAATATTTTACTATAGAGCACTGCATTCATATGTTGGTATACCGATATGTTAGAATTTTCGCGCGATGGTATTTTTAGGGTAACTATTCTAGAAAGGTATTGAATACAGTGCTTTATAATACAAGCTTATCATGAAAATCTTAACAAATTACTAAGTTGCAATTTAGTATTCCAAATAGCAGTAATATTGGCCAATAATTAGTTGATAATTTAGTTATCTAATAATACTAAACCAAGCCAAGAATTTAAAACTTTATTGTTTTAAAAATTTTTTAATAAACTTAAAAAATTTTTTAATAAAATTACTAAACAAATATTAAATTTTATTTTTTATATATAAAAGTATATTATAAAATAAATATTTGATAATTTATTAAAAAATTAAATTAAATTTTTAAATTTGCAGGCAAATTTGCCTGTATTACAATTTAAGGGATATAGTATAAAACTAAATAAACTTTAATAAAAACTTAGTACTATGCAGGCTCAGATATATAGTTGATTCTAGTAAAAGAAAACCTATATTTTTTTAGTAGCTCCAAGTGTTTTTTCTCTTTTTTGTATTTTACTAATTTCACCAAAATTTTCAACAAAAAAGTGAGTGATTTAACTTATCTCTTCCAAAAGATTAGTGTTGTTTATATTTTCTATTTTTGGACATAAACACAGGATTGTTTTAGCAATAATAATCTATTTTACATGACAAATCAATTGGTACTTTGGTTAATGAACTAACCTGGATCAAATATGATAGTTGGAAGAAATTTTAACAATAAGGCTTGGCTTTACAACAAAGATATACAAAATTTTAAATTTAAAATAAGTTTTGTTTAAATTTAATTAGATAAATAATTTTTACAACTATGCTCGGCACAGGCTATAATAGTGCTTCTATAAATTGATTTTTTTCTTCTTTTTTTATTTGTTTTTTTTCTTTTTAGTTTTCTTGTTGCTTAGGTAGTTTTTTTTTTTACCTCTTTTATGTTGCTCTCTTTATTTATTTTTTAGTATTAGTTTTTTTTCATAAATCAGTTAGAGATTATAAATTCTTCTACTTGAAAAGCTAGAGAAAGAAAGTTAAAAAAGAAAATAATCTTAATAGGCCATAAATACTATTCAGTGATGTATCAAAGAATTCAGTTGCAGAGTTTTTTGATATGAAGATAATCTTTATTATAGCAAATCAAACATGGGTAATTTGAATATTTTGGTATTGGAAAGAGCTAAGTTGGCAAATATTTGTAAAATTAGGTAGACTTTAGATAACTTGAGTCAAAAGCACATTTTTACCTATGAGTTTAAATATTTATATCTAATAAAAGTATTGGCAAAATTGCTGAATTTATAAAATATATATATATATTAGTAAAAAAGTAAATCTAAGAGGTGTGTCAACTTAGTATAGTGGTCTAGTTGTTACTCTCTTCAAGTGGCAAGTCTAAAGTTCAAATTCTACAAATATAATTTTGAAAAATAGGCCTGTGTTTTGGTTGATAGTTATCGATTATCAGTTGGATCTAGAACTAAATCTGTAACTTTGGTTATACCTTCTAGTAATAGAAGCTTTGGTGCAATAAATCTGAGGAACCAGAATAACTAAAAATATATTTGAGAAGTCCTAAAATTAAAAGTAGCAGTAATCTTTGATGGTACTACAGGATAGTGTTGGCAAATGACTAGTTATTTAATTTTAAATAATCAAATAACCAAGTTATTTATTATTTGGTTATTTAAATCAACTTTTTCTGATAATCACTTGAACCAAAATTTCTTATCAAAGGAAAATTGAATTTCTGTTAGAGAGTTGTGGCCTAACATAGTGGTTTGCCTAGAGGTTAACAGTTCTTTTCTACTGGGACTCCTCTATCAGATGTGTATTTGGCATGCAAACCAGGAGCATTCATATACAAGATAACTAGCAAAAGGTATGTGCTCTTATATACAAAATCTTGGAGGTGGGGCAAAAGCTTTTGCTATCGATGAAGTTATTTAGGCTGTTATTTCCAGTAAAAAGAATACAGGGAAAACAACAGAAGTCTTTTTTTCTTCAAGCCATATTCTTTTATTTGACCAAGTGGTTTTCTTTCCACCTTTACTCACCCTCCCATCAGTCTTCTAAAATTTTTTTAAAAAGTGGGGATTTGGCTTACTCTCTCCAAAAGATCGGCATTGTTTACACTTACCGAATTCAGATAGACTCAGTAGATTGCAACTATGTATTTTTTTTGATGATCAATATGGTGCTATGGTATAAAGAAGAAATCAATAACTCTGTTTAGAAGATACCTGAGTTGAGTTAGTGCCTGAAATAAGTTGAATCAATAAAGTTGAAGGTTTTACAATTAAAATATACTTTTAGTTGCAATTAGTATATAATTTCTATCTTTATGCCTAGTACAGGCTATAATAGTATATCAAGGCTATATTTTCTTTTTTCACTTTTTTTATCTTTGTTTATTTATGTTAGATTATTTTAGAATTTGTTTTTTTGTTTGTGTTATTTTTTATCGCTATGAGGTATTTTTTTTTCTAAAATGTTTAGATTTTTTGTAAACATGGCTTTATTTTTTATTTTTATATATGAATAAGAGTTTTAATTTTTTTGTCAGGCTTAGGTAAAAGAAGTTTAAAAAAAAAAAAGATAGTTTTGACAGGCCAGTAGGATCTATTCAGTGATATCATTTCAGGAAAGGGTATTTTGTAAGTAAATCTTGCTTATAGCAAGTCACGCATAGATGTCCAAGAGATAATCGGGTAAGCCAGTACTTGTAAAGTAGATATTAAAAGGGTTAGCCTTTTGTAAAAGTCGTATAAATTTATATTGTATAATATAAAAAATTATGATAGCCTAATAAAGTATATAGCAAGACTGCCAAAATAATAAAAAAAAAAAATTAGTTATTTAAAAGTAAAAGTTATACAAATTTAAATTTGGCAATTTTATTAGCTAGATCTTTACTATACTAATTATTATCAGATGATATATAAAATAATGGGAAAATCAGGTACATATTTAATAAATATCACATAAAAATAATCACATAATACAAAAAAATTCTAGAATAAATTAATTAGATGGATATGCAGTTGTACGTAATGCATCCAAAAATGCTTCCCATAAATTATTTTTGTTTTTCCTACGCCAAATATATTCAAAGAGATGTTTTTTTATTAAATCCTTACATCTATGACGTAACGCGATTTGTAATTTCACACTATTCCAAATACCTTTAATGGTGTTTGTATTCACACCTGTAGCCGGATCTGTAAAATGCTTTGAATGATTTACCGTTTTATGCTGCACATTTAACCCATCCTCAATACTGTTATACCCTCTCCAACAATCAGTATAAAGTATCGATTCTGGTTCAATGTACTTATTTAAAATTTTTTGAATAGTTTCACTATCTCTTTTATCAATCGTTATTATAAAACATCGCTTCTTATCAGTAATTTTAACCCCTCCGATAACTCAAACACCATTCATTCTTTGTCCACGATTATATTTACGTCTACTGAATTTAGATTCGTCAACTTGCACTATCACATCCTTACCACCTATCTTAATCAGTTCATCTTTTAACGTATCGATTACCAACTCTCGAAAAAAATTTAAATAATCAGTTATCGTATTAAGCGAATGACCTGTCATCTTTAATATCGAGCTAGTAGAAACTTTTGCTAACCAAAGATATGCGATTAACAAAGTATCGTCACATTTTAAATGATTATTAGAAAAAAATGAATTTCTGAATATCGAAACAGTTTTTCAACATTGTCTGTTTCTACATCAAAATCTTTTATCTTCAAGAGAAAAATTCGTTTTATTACATTCTGAACAAATTGTTGGTTTTTCTAAGATATTTTCATTAAATAAAAACTCGATAGATTTACCCTCATTTAAAAAAATATCTTTTAATGATTTGTATTTTGGAAATTTCGACATTGTTTATTCTTCTTAAAATATTACTTTATTTATTCATACGATGATTAGTAAAAAATAACTAATTTAATAAATGATTATACATTTTTAATAAAATTTTTTTCAGAAATATTATCTTCTACATCATAATAATCAAAATAATTATATGTGCCGATATGTTTAATTACACTATTACTATATAAAATAAAATAGTGACCAATATTATCTTTTAACTTGTAATAATCTCTAATACTATCATTTTCTACTTCGATTTCTTCAACCCTGTTATCATTAAACAACAGATTTTTATCAATATTAATCGTATAAGCTCCTTCTTTAATAAATTTACATTTGAAATCACTTAAATTTAGAATTTGATTATTCAAAGTTAAATAAATACATATTTTTCCATTTTTACGAAAATCAGTTAATTTGTATTCATTGTAAAAAAGTTGGCAAATTAAATCATTTTTAAAATAAAGATTCGACTTTGTTTTAAATAAAAAAGATTCTGTTCCATTATCGTTTTTAATTTTAGGATATTCATAACTATTGTCGTCATCGTATAATTTAAAATCATCCAAAGAACAAGGTTTGTTATCATAAAATAAAGTTATATAATGCCAAGCAAATCTCATATCATCCTCAGTTATAAAAGATAATTTTTCTTTATCAATTTCAAAAACATCTTTAAAGCTTATTAATTCAGCCATTTCTTTATTATTTTGAATCCAAAATCCTACTACTTTTATAATAAAACAAATTAATAAATCATAACAACAATAGATATGACCCAGTGGATTAAAAATTATTTTCATCAAATACTTGATGAATTTGATAGTCCTTTATTAAAAAATGTTTGTATTTCTTCGAATATTATATTTTATTATTCAAAATAATTATTAATTAATTTCACACAGATGAAAATAATAAATGCATCTAGCGGTGTGGTGAATAGCGAAATAACTATCCAATCAAATCATTTAAATCATATAAAAACAACACATGGTGGAATGCTCATAACATTGGTTGATGTGTGTGGATCTCTCGTGATGGCTTCGAAAGGATTAAATCATTTCTCTGGTATTAGTACAAATATCAGTATTTCGTTTATAGATCCTGCAAAAGAAGGTGATATTTTATTAATAGAAGCAGAATGTATAAAATTTGGAAAGGCTATGGGATTTACTGATGTAAAAATATACAACAAAGATACCAGAAAACTAATAGCTCAAGGTTAACATGTTAAATATATTGTGATCGTATTGAAACAATCAGAAAAAGCAAAATTTTAAATTTCCAATTCTTTGTTAACACAATATCATTTTAATTTATTCACATGTATTTTGATTGATATAATATATATTATTAATAAAAAATAAATAAAAAAATAAATAAAACAGTAAATAAATAATAAATAAATTAATCGCAATCGTACAACAAATATTCTTTTGTATACTCTTCTAAATCTGAATATATTTGATAAAATATTCTTTATAAATCTCATTAACCTTTTCAATCCAAACTTCTAAATCTTCTGCATATTTTACCAAGCGCTATTCATCTAAATCGTGTGTGTGGTTTTTAACACTATATTCATATTCTTTATTTACTATATAAAAATACGATCTTGCGTGTGCCTCTACAAATTTTAATATTGTTATTAATCTTTTATTTTTTGTATTTTCATTAATCCTAAAACTCGTTTCAATAATATGGTTTTTAATTAAATATTTCTTAAACAATTCATATTTGATAAAAAATATCATATTTTCATTTTTAAATTTATCAATCAACAATGATGACGATGATTGACTTTCTTGTTCAATTTCCACATATAATGGATTAATGTAAATTTTTTCATTATTGTGGAGATTGACCAGGACGGCCAATCCTCTCTTGTTTCATTTTCGTTATAAATTTTATTATTTTTTTAAAAAATTTTTTTAACAAATTTTTGCAAAGACATTTTAATTACATAATAAACAGATCATTTCAAATCTATATAAACATCTTTCTCTACCAATCTTACTAGACAAATCAAAAAAAAATACGAAATAATGACGCTTTTCAAACGAACGCCTCCCTCTAGCCCTTACTCTTAAAATTAAACAATACCATTATCCAAATTTCTGGTTCAAACATCAATGACCACCATTTAAACAATAAAACCTTTATTAAAATAATAACCAGATTAAACAATTATCTAAGCAAAAGAAAGTTACCCCCAATCCATAAAACATACACTTCTAGTATTGGAATTAATTTATTCTTTTCTACCCAAAAATCGAATAGAATAATTTTTCCAAGTAAATTTCTAGTATTCGAACTTGAAAGAATATTGACTGATAGATCCAATTGGTCACTATCGGTCATCTATCAATTTGGTGAAACGTGAAATTCTTTACCAAAATTTGGTAAAGAATTTAAGTTTATAACTATTAAAACAGATGACCAAAAATATGGACATTTGTTAAAGAAAAGCAATGGAGCACAAGAAAATAACAGAATAATGAAATACAAAGAGTAATTTGCGAATAATTTTAAAAACTGCTTTAAGCCAAAATAGAACGAACTTTAATCATATTGTTTAGCATTATTAAAATAAGCTTAATCATAATTTTTAATAGTATAAATTTTATATATAAAAAATAAATCATCAATCGATACACGATACATATTATTCGAAAGTATTTAACAAAAATAACATCATGTACCTTTATCAATTTTGGATAAATTAATATTTAAGCAAAACTTTATTTAATAATTATCATATGAAAATCAAATATAATACAATATAAAATAACAATATATAAATTTAAATTAACAATATAATAAATATTCTTTGGCATATTGTTCCAAATTTGTAAATGTCCAAATATATTTTGTACCATACTCCTCACAAATTTTGTTCACTTCTTGAAACCACACCTTGAAATCCTCTTGATAACTCTGTTTTCTATATTCATCTAAATCTTCTGTGTCATTCATCTTACTATATTTATATCCTATCTCCTGGATATAAAAATAAGATCGAATATAAGCATCTAAAAAATTTAATATAACACTCAACCTTTTGTTCTTGGTTGAATAATTAACTTTTTCACTAATTATATTTT